GCCTTAGCCACTTGAGCCACAGGTGCCGAGCCAGCTACTCCCATTTTGTAAGTTTGGTACACTTAACATCGACCCACACTTCTCTGAGGTTCGTTCATTTTTTTCTTTCTTTTTCTCTCAGATATTTGAATTGCACAATCTCTGTAAGTTTTATCTTCAAGTTCACTGATTATTTTTTCTGCCAGTTCCAGTCTACTATTTGAACCCCTCTAGTGAATTCTCCATTATCAGTTATTGTACTTTTCAACTCCAGAATTTCCCTTGGTTCTTTTTCATAATTTCTATCTCACTATTATTATTATTTTTAAACTTCATGCCACATTTTTATTTTTTGTTTTTTTAGCTGGCCCAGGCTAGGTTTGAACCTGCCACCTTCAGTGTATGTGACTGGCATCATAACCACTGCTATAGGCGCCAAGCCTGTATCTCATTATTGATAATTCTCAATTGATGAGACATTGTCATTACACTTTTCTTTAAGCTGCTTGTAGGCAGTTTCTGTTGAGTCCTTTTTCCTGCTTGGTTTTCTACACCTCCCTGTTTCTTTGCCTGACTTTTTACTTTGTTGAAGACTGTCCATTCCAGGCGGTATGTGTGTGAGCTCTGGATGCTGTCGCCTGTGTCCTTCCTGGTGCTTGTTTTTGTTGCTTCTTGTCTGTCCAGTGGCTTCGCTGAGCTCTTGTAGCTACTGGGCTCCTCTGACTGTGGGCTGGTTGCTCTGTTGTTCTCAGTGCTCTGGGGCTTCAATTGCTCTGGAGTCCAATGATCCAGTTAAATATGGGCCTCTTTGTGTATTGTTTTTGTGAATGGTGTTTGTAGTTTGTTCTGACCCTAGGCGGGCTCTTCTTAGCAATCTTTCCTGGGGTCTGTCTGGTAACCTCGTTGGCCAGTAGTTTAGCTTGTTGCTCTCTCATGAAACTACCTGCCTCCTCTGAACTACTCACCACCCACGCCTCAGCTGTTTGGGAGCGTCTGTGAGGTTGAACTTCCCTACACTCTGTCCAAATAGTCACTTCTTTTGAGGAGCATTTAGGATTTGTCTGTTTTATTTCCCCCTTGGCCTAACCTCTGGGCCACTTCCCTAGACTAAGGGCAAGGACAGGGCCCACTGGTCTGAGTGCCCCCTCCTCTTCCAGGCAGAGTGCTGGCTGGGCAGGAGCCTCCCTCCCACAGCAAGCTGGAGTGAAGGTGCCGGGACTGCCCACCCTGCTGTACCTATGGCAGAGCCTCAGCCCTGCAAGTGGGTGCTGGGGTGGTGGAGGCCCCACCTCTTGACCTGCTCTCCTAGTTTTAGCCTTTGCAGCCCAGAGCCAGGAAGTGGGCTGCGAGATGTCAGCAGCTGCCCCCTGACCTCCGCACCAGGTCCCTGCCTGGGTGCAGGTCACAGGCAGTCCTGGGTCTTGTCAGTACCAACCCAGAGTGGGGTTTTCACCACATGGAGCTGGTGGGGAAACAGGGCAGAGCTCAGGGGCCACCAACTCTCGCTGTTGTTACCAAGATTTAGTCCATTTTCTTGATAAATGTTTCTTCGTTTACCATATTCCCCTAATGCAATTTCCAGAGACTTGAAATGGTTTTTTTTTTTTTTTTTGCAGTTTTTGGCCAGGGCTGGGTTTGAACCTGCCATCTCCAGTATATGGGGCCGGTGCCCTACTCCTTTGAGCCACAGGCACTGCCCAAATGGTTGATTGTTTTTAATTTTCACCAGTTATCATTGCTGTGCTAGGGAATCAGTCTATGGAAGCTTGTTCTGGAAGCTGGCCCTCTCCCCATTGCCTTTTAAGTCCTGTATTTAAACTTTCATTTCCTAAATTTTCAATTTTAGAGATTATCTATCAAATCATTCTTATATAAAAAGGAGGAAATTAGGGGCAGCGCCTGTGGCTCAGTGAGTAGGATGCCGGCCCCATATACCGAGGGTGGCGGATTTAAACCCAGCCCCAGCCAAATTGAAACAAAAAAATAGCTAGGCGTTGTGGCGGGTGCCTGTAGTCCCAGGTACTCAGGAGGCTGAGGCAAGAGAATCGCCTAAGTCCAGCAGTTGGAGGTTGCTGTGAGCTGTGTGATGCCACGGCACTATACTGAAGGCAGTAAAGTGAGACTCTGTCTCTAAAAATATATATATAAATAAATAAAAGGAGGAAATTAGTATACATGTCCATCTTTCCACCTCAATCTCTTCTTTGAGTCTCAGTTTGGGCAAGATATTTTACTCTTTTATCTTTTTATATTTTACTATTTTTTTATGGCCAAGCTTTAAGACAATTATATTTATTCTGTAACTATGAGTTCTGACAATTGAGTTTGCAAACTCACCCTAGTAAACGTGCGACATATCTCATTACTAAGTGTCACCCCCGTCACCCTCAGGGAGCTGTGCCCAGAGGCCAGCGCCTAATTCCCCCCTTCACAGCAGTCTGGGAACTCTCTGGAATGCTCATCACAACTGTCACTATATTATCCTTAATGTCCTAACTGTCATCAAAATGTCTTCCTTTCAATATTTCCTTTATCTTTGGGTGAAGAAAAAAGTCAGTGGGGGCCAGATGAGGTGAGTGGGAAGGGTGTTCCAGTACAGTTATTTCTTTACTGGCTAAAAACTCCCTCACAGACAGTGCTGTGTGAGCTGGGGCATTGTTGTGATACAAGAGCCACGAGTTTTGGGCCAAGATTTTCAGTTAATGGCAACCTCTCTTGGGTCCCCTTTTGTGACTATGGGGAAACTCTCTTGCTGAAATAAATCGGCTCTGCAGCACAAAAAAAAAAGAAAAAGATTTTCAGTTAAGATTTTCTTGTTTTCTACCTCTGTTTACTTGGTCTGCTGTGCCGCTGACAACTGACAATTTTGATGCACATTAGACAAATTTTTGCAACATTTTCTTCAGTTCTGCTCATTTTCCTCGGTTCTGGCCACCCTGACCGCTCTTCATCAGTGACACTTTCTCTCCCCTCAGGAAGTCTTTTAATCCATTTATACAATGCCATTTTCTTCATGGCATTATCCTTATACACTTGGACTAACAGGTCCCTGATTTTATAGCCACTCTCTCCAAGTTTAATAAGAAATATAATGTCGGCTCGGCGCCTATAGCTCAACCGGCTAAGGCGCCAGCATTTAGTCCATTTTCTTGATAAATGTTTCTTCGT